CCGAGGTGCTTGCTTCAAGCCATAGAGGCTCTTTTTCAAACGACATACCAAGTCTTCTTGGTCTGGAGCTTGGAATCCTTCAGGTTGCTCCATATATATTTCTTCTTCTAAATCACCGTGAAGAAATGTCGTCTTCACGTCCATTTGTTCTACCTCGAGGTCCATTGAAGCCGCCATGGCTAACACGGATCGGACCGAGGTCATTTTCACCACATGAGAAAAAATCTCCTCAAAATCAACTCCTTTCTTCTGATTGCAGCCTTTCACTACAATCCGGGCTTTGTATCTCGGTTTCTACCCGTTCTCTTCATTCTTGATCTTTTAGACCCATTTATTCTTTAGAGCTCATCTTCCTTTAGGCAACTCAGTCAGCTCATAAGTCTGATTCTCGTGCAGAGACTTCATCTCGTCTTGCATTGCCTTTTCCCATTCTTCTTTCTCTGAGCTCGTCACAGCCTCACCATAACTCTGAGGCTCACCGTCTTCAGCAACAACGGTGTATTCATCAGATGGGTATCTCGTAGAGGGTCTTCTTTCTCGAGTTGGATATCTCGGCTGTTCTTCAGCTTGAGAACCTGATTCATCATTCTCATCCCGGATCTCATCATCAACTCAGACCTCAGTGTCTTGGTCATCTTCAGCTTGTTGCTGATCATCATTTTCTTCATTTTCTTGATTTTCTCCCCCTGCTTCAGCACGGACAGGAGGGATGGGTTCTTCACGTCTGACAGTAACCTGAACTTTGGGCTTCGAGATGTCATGAATGTTCTCATGCTCATGAAAGATCACATCTCGGCTTCTCACTATCTTCTTATTGATTGGATCCCAAAGTCGGAACCCGAACTCACATCTCGGCGAACCAAGATAAATGCATTCTTTGGTCTTTGCATCAAGTTTAGCCCTTTCATCTTTAGGGATATGCACGAAAGCTCGGCATCCAAACACTTTCAGTTGATTATAGGCCGCTTTCCGACCTGTCCAGACTTATTCTGGAATTTCTCCTTCAAGTGGCCGTGATGGTGAGAGGTTGATCAAGTCAACAGCAGTTTTGACGGCTTCTCCCCAGAATGATTTTGGCAATCCGGCATTGGATAACATGCTTCGGACCTTCTCTTCAATAGTCCTGTTCATTCGCTCAGCCAGTCCATTCAGCTGAGGTGTCTTGGGGGGCGCCTTCTCAAGTCGAATCCCGACCGCTCTGCAGTATGCATCAAATGGGCCGCAATACTCACCACCATTATCAGATCGGACCACCTTCAATTTCTTGTCAGTCTCCCTTTCAACCATAGCATGGAATTCTTTAAATGATTGGAGTACCTGATCTTTAGACTTCAACAATTATACCCACACTTTGCGGGAATGGTCATCAATAAATGAAACAAAGTACTGAGCTCCTCCAAGAGATTTCTCCGACATGGAGCAAACATCAGTATGGACGAGGTCAAGAATATTCCTTCGTCTTCTTGGTTGATCCGGTCTCACAAAAGAAACCCGGTGTTGCTTTCCAGCTAGGCAGTGCGTGCAACTCTCCAACGCTTGGCCTTTCAACCCGGACAATAATCATTTCTTGTTCAGGATCTGTAGCCCTTTCTCGCTCATGTGGCCGAGGCGCTTGTGCCATAGCTCCAAGCTAGATTCATCTCGAACAGAATTGGCTTCTCCGCCATTGATCTTTCCTTGCATCACGTACAAGGAGCCTTCTTTCTTACCTCGGGCCACGACCAAGTTTCCCTTGGTCGGCTTCCATCTAACACTACCAAAGTAGTTCACTAACCCGGCATCATCAAGTTTGCCTACCGAGATTAGGTTCAAACGCATGTCAGGAACATGCCTCACATCTTTCAACACAAGTCGGCATCCGACATCCGTGGTCAGAGTTACATCACCGACACCAACAATCTTGCTGGTCACCTGGTTTCCCATCTTCACGACTCCAAAATCACCACCTCGATAAGAGGAGAAAAAACCTTTGTGTGGAGTAACGTGGAAGGAGGCACCGGAGTCAACAATTCAGGTGCAGTCATCATATGCAACATTCAAATAATTATCTTCACCAAGGAGGAATATCTCGGCATCCGGGTTGGCAGCCACCGCAGTGGTGCTCTTGTCTTCCCTCTTCTTGGGAATAATCTGATCCGGCTTCACAGAGTCGTTCTTCTCATCATTTTGTAGGGTCCAGCAGTCTGGCTTCTTATGGCCTGTCTTTCCACAGTAAAAGCACTTCAACTCATATTTCGGCTTTGACCGACCTCTGGACTTGTCTCGTCTATCACGACCTCTATCGCGGCTCTTACTTCTACCACGGGAGTCAGATTTCCCTTTGTTCTCAGCAACGTTGGCCTCAGACGTACTCGAAGTACCTCGTTCTCTTCTCCTGGATTCTTCGCCTAGGAGGCTGTATGTCACGACATCCATCTTCAATTTTCCATCTGGAGTCGAGTTATTCAGGGTCACCACCAGAGTATCCCAGCTTTCTGGCAGCGAGCTCAACAGCAGCAATGCCTGCAGTTCTTCATCAATTTTCATATCAGCCTTTGACAGCTGATTCACAATACCTTTGTAGGTGTTCAGGTGTTCAATCATGCTCATGCCGTCCTTGTATTCAAGCTTAACAAGTCGGCGAACCAGGTGTGCTTTGTTCCTGGGAGTCTTCTTCTGAATCATGGACTCTAATTTCGTCCACAACTCATACGCGTTCGTGAATTCGGACACGTGCTCAAAGAGGCTTTTATCAATATATTTCCTGATCGTGGCTACCGCCTTCCGACTCAGGATCTCCCACTCCTTGTCTCTTTTGCCTGCCGGTCTCTCATCAAGGATAATGGGCTCATGCAGATCTTTGCAGTAGAGATGATCTTCCATCATCGGTCTCCAATAAGTGAAGTTGTCTGCGGTCAACTTGAACATATCTCCATCATGAGTTATGCCACTGGTCTCCATCTCGTCTCCCTCAGAACCCGTCGAACCCGGGCTCTGATACCACTGTTGGGAAAACTCGGTTCTCTCAAGCTCGGCTAAGCAGCCTTTGTGTGGAAGTCAATCAACAAGATCCTGATCTCGGATCTCGGCAATACCTCGGCCTGAACTTCACCAGGTCGAGCAGCGCAGCGGAAAAATCAAAATGTAAACAGGAGAGAGAGAAGAAGAACACAACCAGATTTAACGTGGGAAAACCTTCTCCAATGAAGAAGTAAAAACCCACGGGACCTAGTCCAAATCAAAAATCCACTATGAAAATAATGGTTACAAAGAATCAAATACACTAATGTGGTGGTTAACTCAACCTCTCCAACAATGGTGATAATCAAACTACCCTAGAGATGTTTCACTCAAACTCTCTCTAGAGATCTCTCAAATGCAAAGTATAAAGCCTTGCTCAAACAATCAAATAATTCTCTCAAATTTGTTCTCTCAAATCTGACCTAGCCTCCACCCACAACTAATGAGTATATATAGAGGAGGTGGAAATTAGGGTTAGGGTTTTTAGGAAACCCCTCAAATGAGCTTGGGCTTAGCATTGAAGGAGGAAGCCCAACAACTCCATGCTAACTAATATTTAACAAAGATGTTACCAATAGTGAGATAAGAATTTTGGTAAGTCGAAAAATGGAAGTAGAGGTAGAGAGAGGAAAACCACCGGAAGAAACCATTGTACCAGTTGATACCAACGGAGGGCTTACTCCACGGCTGGCTGTGGAAGGGGTGCAAGTGCAGGCTCCAGAAAAGATAACAAATCACGAAAAAAGGAAATTTATATCCTACAAAGATAAACTGCTCCATCTTAATGGAGATGGCTATGTTTTCGAAGGAGAGGAGGAAGATTGGATGGCAACACAGAGAAGAAAGGAAGAAGAGGAAGATATGGAGGAGGACATAGGGGAGGAAGAAAACAACCTGCTATGCCCACCTATAAAATCTCCAAGAGTCAACACAAGGAAGACTGTAGGCAATGAAGGAAGGCCTTAATCATTAAACTGCTGGGTAGGAGAATAAGCTCCAGGTTTCTAATAGCTAGGCTCCAACGACTTTGGGGGCTAACAGGAACCTTCGAAGCTATTCATCTGGATAACGGCTACATTGTGCTACGGTTCTCAGATGATAGGGACTACATCCACATTCTACAAGATGGTCCTTGGGTGGTAGCAGACCATTATCTGGTAGTCCAACATTGGAGACCTTTGTTCAACCCTTATGAAGACAATGTAAAGAAACTTGCCATCTGGATACGCATCCCTGGGCTCCCTATTGAACTATACTCCACGCAACATCTATGGAAGATTGGTAACATATTTGGAAGGACTCTCAAGGTGGATAAGAATTCTATTAGGACCGCAGAAGAGGGTGAGGGAGAGGTCACGGAGAAAGCTCGTTTTTCTAGGATTTGTGGGGAAGTTAACTTGAATAAGAGCCTTGTAAAGAACCTTGGGATACACCACCCCAAAAGTTAGCTCAAAGGGTGGGAGTGCCCAAAGCCTTATAAACTCCACATTAATTGCACATACAACCAATGTGGGACTATATATCTCAACACGCCCCCTCACACGAGAGCCCATTGGGCTTGAAGAGTGGACAATGCAACAGGCCCAGCCTACCTGTGCTAAGAAAACTCCACAAGAGAAAGTGGAGGGCGGCGAGGCTCTGATACCATGTAAAGAACCTTGGGATACACCACCTCAAAAGCTAGCTCAAAGGGTGGGAGTGCCCAAGGCCTTAAAAGCTTCACATTAATCGCACATACAACCAATGTGGGACTATATATCTCAACAAGCCTGCTATCCCACTTCCAGATAGGTAATCGAACTATCCAGGTTGGATATGAGGGTCTTCACCTCATATGTTTCTCCTGTGGGAAATACGGGCATAGGAAGGACCAATGTGGCTTTGCGGGGAAACCTAGCACTACAGTAAGCCCCTCGAGAAACCAGGAAAATTTGGTACAACTCTCAGCCCCTGCAGATGAGAGCAAGAACGCGACTGAAGCCGAAGCTTTCAGGAACTAGATGGTCGTGCAGAAGTATGCCAAGGGTAGACAGCTGAAGGCGGTGCCGGTGGAGGAGAAACAAGGGACGAGAAAAGTGGTGACGGTGGAAGGCAAACCGGAGGTGATCAGGCATAATCCAGCAGACAAAAGGAACGTGCGACCAGGAAATCTGGGGAAACAGGTGGTCAGTCTAGGGGGCAGTAAAAACAACACTAAGAAAGCAGAGGTTGCAGAGGCTCCAGAAGATAAACAAGGCAACAAAAGGTTGGTGCAGATGGAGGTAAGTGATAGCAGTGGCAGGCAGGTAGGTTTTAAGGAAACAAGCATCGAGAGTGAGAAATATATTCGCTCTTTTGTGGGGCACGAGGTGATTAAGAAGTCAACGGAGGGGTTAAGAGGATTGAAAGGCCTAGGACCAAGAGCTGTGGGCCCCAACTCCATGCAGAAGTTTAAAAATAGTAGTAAAAAGAAACTGCTACGAGGAAAGCAAGTGACAAAAAACCATTTTATTATTCTTGAAGCAACTCCTTCCAAGGCACTTGGGGAAACAATGGGAGCTGCTACTAGCCAGGCACATAGCGCTCAGCTTAAAGAGCCTTACAACAGTGGAAATGACAAGGACAATTCCATGAAAGTATTGGCAATGTTGAAATCTGGTCTTGTCTACCTAGAGGATCAAATTCTGGAAAAGAGCCTAGAATCTCTAGGGGGGTCAGAATCCATTCCTAGGGGTTTACCCGTTGTTCCTTGTCCTCCTTTTTGAAGTCTTTATGAATTACTGTAGCTGGAATTGTAGGGGTGCTGGTAAAAAAGGATTTAGTCCCCTAATCTTTGATATGAAATCTAGATATAAGATTAGTGTTTTGGATCTTTGTGAAACCAAAGTTAATAGCCAGATAGGAAACTCTATTATCAGGAAGTTGAGCTTTAATAAGTTTTTCATGCAACAAACAGTGGGGTTTAATGGAGGCATCTGGGTTCTTTGGGATGACTCTGAATTATCCTTAGAAATTATTAGTCACCGACACCAATTCGTCCATACCAGAATTATGCATAATAATTCGCGGAAAGTGGAATTTGTTACCTTTATTTATGCAAGCCGGAGAAGATGTGAAAAGAGTAGCTTATGGGGTAACTTAAGGGATCTGGCAGAAACTTGTGAGGATGCCTGGATGGTTATTGGTGACTTTAACGCCATGGTTGATAATTCTGAGAAGGTTGGAGGTAGTGACTTTTGCTGGGGTAGTGCCCAGGATTTCCAGAACTGCCTCATGGATTGCAACCTAAATGATCTTGGATTTAAAGGCCCGATGTTCACTTGGAAACGGGACAGATTGCTTCAGAGGCTCGACAGAGCCTGCAGCAATGAAAGATGGAACTTGGAGTGGCCTCAACGAAATATCTCTCATCTTCCCTTTTATGGCTTTGACCACAGACCTGTGTTAGTGATGGAGGAACGACCTTGGACCCAAGCTCATGAACCTAAGCCTTTTAAGTTCCTTGCAGAATGGCTAACAACTGAAGGGTTCGGGGAGATGGTGCAAGAGTGCTGGGGCAACAATGCAGATTGGCTGGATGCCAGCAGTCTATTTCAACGAGAAGCTCTCGAATGGCATGAATCAGTTTTCAAAGCTACTCAAAGGAAGAAGAACCGCTTACATGCTCGATTAAGAGGTATAGACCACTGTCTGAGCCATCAGCACAGTAGCAGCCTTGAGAATCTACAAAGAGATTTATGGAAGGAATTGGAAGTGATCCTTATTAGAGAGGAAATAACGTGGTTCCAAAGATCTCGTTGTGACTGGTTCCAATTTGGAGACAAAAATACTGAGTATTTCCATTCCATAACCGTCTCTAGGAGAAGGAGGAATAGAATTATTACCATTATGGATGAGGATGGGAGGTGGATCGCAGATTCTCAGGACTTGATTAATCATGCCACAGAGATTTTCAGGAACCTATATGCTGCAGAAGAAGAAAGCATGGATCCTTTCTCTATTACCAGTCTGTTTCCATCCATTTTTTACAATGGATTCCTGGAGCTGGGTGTTTGTCCGTCGCAGGAAAAAGTAAGAGGGCAGTGTTTAGCATTGGTAGTCTAAAGGCCCCTGGCCCTGTCGAATTACATGCGATGTTTTACCAGAATCAATGGAGTATTATAGTGTAACATCCCACGTAATTAGGAAAAATATATAAAATACGATAAGGCATGAGAATGCAAGTGAGAGAATCTGAATTACATATAATATACGTTGGTTTTCGAATTATATGGTTATTAGTATAGGATTAATATTGAGCTAGGGAAGTTACTTGAAGTATAATAATAGGTGAGGATTTATTTTGGGCTTGTGGAATTTTAGTTAAGAGTTATAGAAATCATGTAATAATAATTTATAAGAGGATTAAAAATATTTATTAGATATGGAAATTTATAATTTATGGGCCAGGACTTGGGTTAGTAATATTAATGAATGTGCAAGTTTGTAACCCAAATTCCTACGTGGTCGATGGCCCAAAGGCCTTAAGAAAAGGATTGAGGTGGCCCAAACTATAAACTATCCATTTTATTATCATAAAGAAATTTGAATGCAAGCTTCTTATTGGTCCATTCCTCATGCATGTAATTCTATTGGCTGATATTTATCCTCTCACTCAAACTAATAATCTCTAGGGCGCTCATGAGAAGTGATTAGGCTGATGCCTTATTCTGAATCCTAATACAACTTCACTCCATTTCTTTCCTCGCGCATGACCCTGGGTAACAAGTCAGAAAGCTGGTCACCCATCCCAGAATTTCTCCAAGTCAAGTACGCTTAACTGTGGAGTTCTTCCGATCCGGGCTACCGAAAAGTAGATGCATCTTGTTAGTATAGGTAGTACCAATTAATTCTTATAAGTCATTCCTAACTGTACCGTCCCATACCAGCGCAGTCTCTGGAATCCCTCTCTTTCGAGTGTTGATTCGATTCATTCATGAACCCCCAAGTTGCAAGATTTGGCATGAGCCGCTCATTGTCCGTGCCCTTTCGCACCGGCGATCACTCCCTGCCTTTGCCAGCTATTGGGATGTTACATGTAGGGCCTTCTATATGCAAATTGGTGCGGGATATCTTTGAAGACCCCACTAAAATTAAGGATATAAACCAAACACTGTTGTGTTTGATTCCTAAAGTGGACAATCCAATGAGCATGAAACAATTCCGTCTTATCAGCCTGTGCAATGTCTCTTATAAGATAGTTTCAAAACTTATTGCTAGCCGGCTGAGGAGATTTATGCCCAAGCTTATTGGCCCTAACCCGTGTAGTTTCTTTCAAGGCCGCAATAGTTCTGATAACATCGTGATCGCTCAAGAGATCATGCATTCCATGGCCAGGAAGAAAGGTACGAAGGGGTGGATGGCTATTAAAATAGATATAGAAAAGGCCTACGATAGGATAGATTGGAGGTTTGTCCATGACATACTCCTAGATGCTGGAATTCCTCACAATCTGATTAAGATTATAGATCAATGTGTGACTACCACTTCAATGGATCTCCTTTGGAATGGAAAGCCAACAAACTCGTTCAGGCCTTCTCGTGGTATTAGGCACGGAGATCCGATCTCGCCCTACCTCTTCGTGCTGTGTATGGAAAGTTATCACATCTTATACAAACAGCGGTCCAAGTTAAGGCCTAGAAACCCATCGTCCTTCGTAAGGATGGTCCTCCCATCTCGCACTTGCTCTTTTCAAATGATATTATTTTATTTGCTTAAGCTTCCTTAGACTAGGCAAGGCTCGTGAATCAGGTTCTGAAGTCTTTCTGTCAAGCATCTGGACAGCGAGTCAGCCATGACAAAACAAAGGTGTTCTTTTCAAAGAATGTGAACTACATCAGAAGCCACGATATCAGCAGTTGTATAGGCTTTAATATAACAGGGGACCTTGGGAAGTATCTAGGGATCCCTCTACATAGCAAAAGATTCACAAGAAGCTCCTTCAACCACATCATGCAGAGTGTCCACTCACAGCTGAATACCTGGAACCAAAAATCCCTCTCCTTGGCCGGTAGAGTGACGCTAGCGAAGGCTGTTTTGAATGATCTACCAATGTATTCCATGCAAACGTCTGTGCTGCCCCTGATCATCTGTGATGACATCCAAAAGTGTATTAGGAATTTTGTTTGGGGTTCAAGCAATGATCAAAGGAAAACTCACCTAGTCAACTGGGAAACCGTTTGTAGAGTACAGAAAGAGGGCAGTTTGGGTTTGAAAGACCTGCGTTCTTTCAACAACGCCATGATTATGAAAGTGGGTCATGGTATCATCACAAACAAAGATAGCCTATAGGCTAGGGTTCTTAGAAATAAATATAGAATGAGGCCTGATCTCATCCCTTCAATCAACAGAACTGCTAGCAGCTCCAACCTGAAGAGGGGAATTTCGAAGCTCTGGAGTAAGGTGGAACAAGGTTCTAGGATTCTTTTAGGTGACGGGCGGTCCTCTAAATTCTGGACATATAATTGGTTACCCTATGGAAATCTTACTAATTACACTGTCTCCCAAGTGCCAGATGCCATGCTCGATGAGAAGGTAGCTTTTTACGTGGATGAATTCGGTAATTGGAACTGGAATTTATTTCACCAGTTTATTACTGACGAAGGCAAGAACTATATTGCTGGAGTAGTGCCACCAGATCCACATGGGGGAGAAGACAAAGTCATATGGAAACATTCCAATGATGGCAGATTTACCATTAAAACTGCCTACCACAATTTGACTACAGACGAAGGCCAAGTGAATACAGTTGAGTGGAACTTGGCGTGGAGATGGAACGGACCACATAGAATAAAAGCATTCCTTTGGCTCCTCTTGGGAAACAAAATTCTTACTAATAATACGAGATGCTTGAGGCATATGTGTAGTTCTCCCTTCTGTCCTAGATGCAGTTTGCAGGTGGAAGACTGCTCACATCTCCTGAGACATTGCACTTGGGCTAGGGACGTATGGCTACACCTTCTGCACATTAATGATCGAACAGACTTCTTCCAAGGAAGCATAATGGAGTGAACCATAAGGAACCTAAGAGATCGAAGAAAGGGTATGTTCCAAATGGAGTGGAAGCTAATTTTTGGAGTTGCTTGTTGGCATATCTGGAAGGAAAGAAATAACCTAGTCTTCAACGGTAAATTAGAAAATCCCCAGCGGGTGAGTATGAGGATCATCCATTTTGCTCGCAATGCTAACCTAGCTCACTACACGCTGGCAAATGCGGGTCTAAGGGCGAACCGGAGGGAAGAAGCCTTTATCAAGTGGAACTATCCAGATCCAGGTTGGGTGAAGGTAAACACGGATGGGGCTAGTAGTAACATTGGGAGGAAATCACGATGTGGTGGTGTCATAAGGAACAGCCAGGGGGGCTGGCTAATGGGATTCAACAAAAATACTGGGTTCAATAATTCTTTCATGGCTGAATTGTGGGGTATCTTCCTGGGATTGAAGTTGGCTTGGGAGAAACAGTATAAGCATGTTTGGCTTGAATCGGATTCCACCTCTGCACTCGAAGTCATTGAAAAAGGTTGTGCTGTGCATCTTCCTTATGCGAATCTGGTTTCCAAGGTTCATGAGCTTTGAAACAGAAACTGGGTCATTAGATTTTCCCACACTCACAGAGAAGCAAATGGAGTTGCAGACTGGCTTGCTTCGAATATAACAGCAGTGGACTGGAGTGTCCACTTTTTTGACAATCCTCCTCAGGGTTGTAGATTTCTGTTAGATAATGATAGGAGAGGGGCCTTGTACCCCAGACTGATTAGTAGCTAGTTTTTTTTTCTCTTGTATTTTCCTTGTTGCATCAAAAAAAAAAAATATTCAACAAAGATTTCAAACACACAGGTAATGGCTCACTCTATTCATACAAGAAGACCTTGACGCTGTTAGAATCAACATTGTTACTACTATTATTGTTGCTTCCATGCATAACAGTAAAGGCAGAATCTGTTGCTATCAACGCATGGCCAAAACAAAGAAACTTCACGTGGTCACCACCACATGAAGCCACCCTTTTGTCACCTGCATTCACCATCGCCACCACAACAAACACCTCTCCGTTGCAATTGCAAGCGGAGAGGTATTTGTTGTGGTGGTTGTTATAATAACCCTGATTTGTAATATGTTTAATGGTATGATATTAACTATTTAATCATATATAATCCAAATTAATGAGTAAATACCCTTTTTAGTCCTCAGCAAATTTCACAAAGCCCGTTTTAGTCCCTAGCAAATAAAAAGGTCCATCGAGCTCCCTAAGAAATTCAAAATGGACCCATTTAGTTGAAATTGAAGTCCCTAACAAATTCAAAAAAAAACCCATATTAGTCCTCAAAAGGACTAAAATGGGTCCATTTTGAATTTCTTAGGGACCACGATGGGCCTTATTATTTGCTAGGGACTAAAACGGGCTTCGTGAAATTTGCTGAGGACCAAAAAGGGTATTTACTCCAAATTAATTAAATGAGAGGCTTAATACAAAGGATTGGATTAAATATTAATGAAGCGCCTTGTCAATCAAATAAGTGGGAATAGTTAGTTCAATCAATGTAGATTGGTAATTGTGATTGAAGATTTAATCGTGTTTAATTAGATTAATTAAGTTAGAGGCTTAATATAAAGGTTAGATTAAATATTAATTCTTCACATTGTAGATAAAATAAGTAAGAAGGCTTAGTTTAATCACTGTGAGCCTAAGTGCGTGTTTTGGGATAAAAATGGATGTAGGCAAAATTAGCCTGAATGTAAAAGTAAAGTTAGAAATATGATGGTAAGAATATTTTAGACCAATAGGTAAAGTTTGAAAGAGAATGGAAGTAACTAGATAGACAAGTTTATACCCAGTGAAGTGATACAACTCATTTAAACTCCTTTCCTTCCTAATTTTCTCTCATTTCCTCGACACTTTCTCTCTTCTGCGTCTTCTTCCTTTCGACAGATAGCAAGAATCCATCATTGAAAAGCTTGATTTCCAACTTCTCGATTTCTCAACCAAATCACTTGATTCTTGAATCAAAGTTGCTTAGTATCTTCATACAAACATAACCCCTATTTCAAATATCCTTGAAAGTGTG